CTCTCGGAGGCATTGCCACTGATCGCTCTGTTTGAACAGATCTCTCTCCTGCCATTGGACAGTCTCTGATATAATGACCTGGGTCTCCACAACGAAAACAAACTCCTGATCCCGCTCTACATTCACCAGAATGATATTTTCCACACCGTGGACATAATGGGTGTTGTCCTTGAGACTGAGCTGATCTGCCAACTCCTGTAGTCATTGTTTGTACCTGACGCCCTTTTTCCTTAGCCTCGGATCCTCTTCGACTAGGTGCACCAACTTCGGATTTACTCTGGTGCTGATAACCTGAATCTCGACCTCTTTTAGATTGAGATGAGAATGATGCTCCTGATATTTTAGATTGTCGTCTCCTCTCTATCAGAAAATTCTCATTTTGCGTCATTTCTAAATCTTTGCTTTGTTCCCACTTCTTGAAAAGTGTTAAGTTCGCAGCCAACAAAAGTCTCTGAGTCTGGACGGAGACCTCGAATAAATTCTGACATATCTCTCTCGGTGGAAACCATCTCTGAGGCATATCGAGCAAGTTTATTAAACTCACATCATACTCGTAAACAGATTTACCACCCTGGATCAGATTAAAGAAATCATGCTTCATCTGAGTAATAATTGCTCTCCGATATATTTCTTCTGAAATGATTCTAAGAAAAACTGCCATGTGATCTGATCTGGAGGAACAAGTATCGTCACGTTCATCCACCATATACGAGCCTGACCTCGTAACAATAAAACTACTCCCCCCAATCTCTCATCCTCCGTACATTGAAGACTGTCCAACATTATTTTTATATCATTCAGCCACATGTCTGCCACTACTGGCCTTCATTTGCTTCACCTTTAATTCTGGTGGCCTGTCTTATGCCTTCCGAACCCGACATCTAAACAAAAGCACAAATTTACGTTAGTAAGGAGCAACATCATAAATAAAATCATCATACCATATCATATCAGTAATTTCGACATCCTAGTGACATGTGTATATTTTTTGACATATTATAGGCTCGGTTTAGGCCGAGAATCGGCTAAATCTGTACCTCTGATACCAATAAATGTAACACCCTTAACCCGTATATGTCTCAATATACTAGTCAAAGATGTCACATCAACTTGAAAATATTTACTGAACTAAAATTTCCGTAAAAATTTGTTTCTTTTGAAAACACTCTGGTTCTAACTTTAAAAATATATTTTAAATTATATTTCAGCTTATAATTTATTTCTTTATTACATGAAAATAAATTCATTATTTATTCAGTAATTTGACTAAACCATGTCTTTTCGTAAAATCTTTTAAAAACATAATAATGTAATAAATTCTTGTCATACATAGATACCGATAAAACTAAATTAAGTAAAATAAACTAAAATAATCCTAGTTTATTATTACAAATTATTTAAAATAAATATGATAATTAGAAACTACTGACATAATTATACATGCCACTATAAGTCAAAAGAAACGTCATAGACATCTTACTGATACTGATGATATGTATGTCTTTCCAGAAAGATGCTCCGATAGCTCCTTACTGATCGTACTTATCCTTATTAGAACCTACGCATGAAAATCATCACGCACTAAGTATAACTTAGTGAGGCAATAATAATCTAGGGTGAGTAAAATTTGAAATTTATCATAAACGTAAATAAAATAATTCAACTTAAAACATTAAACTGGCAAACCAACTTATCCAAGTCGATTTCTTCACTGAGACCTGAACTTTCTTTTTAAATCATGAACTCATGAAAATTGTGATAAATCATATCTAATAAAATAAGCACATCATGCTTTCTGTTAACTGAAAATCATTCACAACTTGCATATTCATTTTCATAGCCCAATGCATATTTATTAAGAACATAAGATACGCGAGTAAGGTGCGCACTATGCACAACATGGTGCAAATCGTAACTGATATTGAGATATGATGCACTTCAGTGCCATCATAACCTGAATAAGCACCAACGGTGATGGACATTGATACACAAATGTACCAAAGCTGATAGGATAACATTGATACCGAATGTACCAAAGCTGATATGATAACATTGATACACGAATGTACCAAAGCTGATAATACTCAACTAATGGCATGCCAAGTGTACCCATAATTCTCATTATACATACAATGGGCTCATGTGTCATAATTAAATCCAATAATCAAAATATCATGCTTGGGCAGTTCATACCCTAAATCATTCATAAAACTGATATAACATATTATGAAAATAATCTTTATAAATCATACTGTAAATTGGAATGAGGTTGACTTATCGCAAGTCGTCCTCGATCAAAATAATTAAATAAATAACTGCACTCACCTTTGCCTCACTACAGAACTTGTATATAATAATCCTAGTCACGAGCTTTGTCCTTTCCTTTCGAATCGTTTGGATTGCTAGATTTAACGTAGTCTGACAATACCAAATTATAAAACAAAAATTGTTCGAACTACATATTAGTATCGTACTAATATAAGCTCGTTTTAACATTTGAAAATCTATATAGTAAAATCGATAACTAAATCGATAACAACCAAACTCATAACTCCATTATAACTTCAAACTTATCGAAACACTTATTCAATTCCATAAATAATTATTTTCAGCATGATTCTTCAACTTTTACGAATTATAAAATCTAACCACATATTTTAAATTCTTTCTAGAATTCAACTTAACTTTTCCTTTAATTTCATAATAGCTCTTCACTAATATGATTATTTCCCATCAAATATATAAAATTTCCAGCAACTAAAATAAAAGTTCAAATCAATAATTCAACACTCAAATGCTTACAATTTCATCCTAAACTTTCTTAGGCTTTTCAATTTCAACCTTACAACTTGATAAACTTGAAATTCAATCCCAACTTAATACTTAAACTCCAAAATCAGCACACTTTCCAGAATTTCCAGAATTATTCTAACTCACCCAAATGGTACTTTTACATTTAAAAATTACTCTTCATCTTCTAATCCATTTCAACTTAAATTCTAAAATTTCCATATTCAGACAACTTGCACTACCTTTAAAGAATCAGTATTATGTGTTGATATACACACTGGAATTTAATTCTGTTTCTTCCATTGAAAACTAGACTCGAATAAAAATCTATCCATATAAAGAACTCATTCTAATTCATTCTGTACAATTTATAGTGAATTTTCAAAGTTGATCAACAGAATCTGTTTTGTGCAGAATATACTGTTCGTTTTTCTGACCTTTCCTCAGTTAAAAATTCATATCTTTTTGTATACACATTGAAATTGATCCTCGTTTATTTTAAACAAAACTAGATTGATATAAGAACATAATATATAACAATCATCTCCAAATAATTTTTTATAGAATTTCTGGTGAATTTTCAAACTTACTGCCATATTCCCAAAAAAAAATCTAAACTGTTTTCTTTAACTTAATCATTAGATTCTTCATCAATTCTTACAACCAATTCTTTAAAATAACTTAACTCTTCATAATCCCAAATCATAAAATCTCATCACATAATCATCTTCACCATGTAATATTGGTAACAAATGATAGAGAATTTCATGTAGATTAATTCTCTATCTAATCCAAAAAATCAAGTATATTGCTTCAAAAATCAAAATAAAAATCCTTACCTATTTTAAGACTTCAACTCACGGCCAAATGAAGGAAGAAGCTGAAAATGTACTGCTTCTCTTGATTTTTCTAGTCTTTAATAGATAAGGACACTTGGCATTTATTTAATTAATTGAATTTAAAATTCAATTAATGAGAAATCTTAAAAATACCCTTAGTAAATCTTGAAAATTACCAAATGCCATTGTATTATCTTCTAATAAAATATTCCTTGGTTAAAGATAATACAACTTGACTTTGACTTTCAAAATTGGCCATGCAATTTTCAAAAATTGCATTTAAGTCACTAAAATTCCACTGTTCGAACAAATCTGAAAATCATACTGTTCTGAGCCAAATTTCTCTGATATAAAATATGAAAAATAATATTTCCAACCATTTTCTAACATCCTTCAAATTTTTGTAAAATTTCAGCTCGATCCGAATATCTGATTTCAATACTGAAATTTACTGCTTTATATATTTTATCAAAATTCTCGTACCAAAAATATGATCCCCACAAAATCTCTGTTTTAATCCAAACTTTTCATTTACAGGCATAAAATATATAACTTTTAAATTACAACTTTCAGTCCCTACACTTTTAAAAGTTTATACTTTAGCCACCAAACTTTCAAAACTTACATTTTAGTCACTGGTCAAATTTTGGGGTATTACAATTTGGCAACTGTGATATGAAAAAAATTTGATCCCAAAATTTTCAAACAACTATCATATCCTAGTCACCAGGTTAACGTCTGGCTTAAACAATTGTCAATTTTTTAACAGAAAATGACGAGTTTAGAACATAATGAATAGTCGGGTGACCATTTTATAACTTTTAATAGTCGAAAAACTTAACAAATAAATATTTTATAATCATTTGTAATTTTTAATAGTTAAATGATTTAATAAAAGAATATTCTATAGTCAGCACCATTTGTAATTGAAATGAATAAACGTATTCCATTTTCATAACAAGCAAATGTTGACCTACCAGATGGAACCCTATTTTCGGAACTAATAAGTTTGGTCCGTCGAATATTCTCAAAATTTGAGTATATTATCATTATCAAAAGATAAACCAAACGCCATCTCCTGTACCCTTCTTCTTGCCTTATTATTACGTTAAACAGGTGAAGGGGCATTTGGCCTTGGATTCACTCGAGGGACGTTTGTTTTCCTCCCTCACGAGCAAAACAACACCAATAGAATATATAATTGACTTTATAAAAATCCGGCAAATAACTTTCTACCGAGATTTTTCTTACAAAAATTTGTACATATTTCTTAATATGTCATGAGAGCTTAGTACGCCGGCGAGTCGGTAGTTGTGTGGGTAGAGGAAGATGTCGAATGAACCCTCCCTTCACTATGGCTGGCCCTCTCCTCGGATGCGACTGCTGCTATCTTCCACATGGTTGAGCAAGCGAGGGCAATGTGGCTACAGGGGCGTAGATTCCACTAGTCGGAGCAATGGTGGAAGTTTTTGTCGATGTTGTGAGATATTCCGGTGGAGGTACCCATATGCCTCCGACCACCACAAATTGAGGTGCTTGTGGATTGGCGTTGTGTTGGACGGACGGACTCGGTCTCCTCGTGTGCAATCTATATTTCTGAAAACGGATAAAACACACGAAATGAAAGATTTAGGCCATGCTGGAACTTCAAATCTATTGAAAACTAGGTCAACATTGCCCAATATAGTGGAAACAAACTAGTCTAGTTGCAGTATTTTCTCAAAAAAGCAGATCGATTTGCCAAAACAGACACCCTATTGATTTATCCCTAAAATCTAAAATCACCTGTAAATGACTCTTAACTTCATTATTTGTAAGTCCATCAACCTTCATCAGCTCCCTAATTTGCTTTGGGGTGGCAGCTGCAAACTAAATCCATGTTTATAAATCGTCCACTCAATGAACGAAACGATGATGGTAAGAAGAAAACTCACCGTGTGAACCGCCGAGTTGCTGGAGAGCGTGCAAGAAGCGCCGGTGCAACTCCGGAGACCAACACCGCCTTATCTTTCGCTGAGTCTGACCTTCCTTTTCATCTTTTTTACTAGAGTTTCCACTATTGGCTTTTCCTCCACCTCTACTACTTTCTGTAGTGGAAGTACTTGTAGCTGAAGCATTTGCTTTTCCTACTGCAGATGATTGAACACTTTTTTCCACGGTTTTTTCTCCCTGGAACCGTTGAAATGCTCCCCCGTTTTCCTTCACTTCCACACCACTTCCATTATTACCGGCATCCTAGAAAAGGAAAGAAAAATCCCAGAAATTGTTGACTTTTTTGTCTTTGTTTGGAGAATTAAAAAAAGGGACAAAAGGGTACCTCATTCAAGGATAGATCTGGGGATTGATTGTTGTTGTTGTCGTTCCACAGCTGAACGGATCTAAGCCAATCGGATTTCCTTTTATGATCAACAGCAGCTGGGACATTCTTTTCTTCGGATTTATGCGATTCTTGTTCATCATCTTCCTCGAAGCAATCATAATTTTTTTTAATCGGAATAAATTCTTCCAAAACCGGAACATCACTGGTCGTCTGCTCCGAACAATCCCATTTCCGTTGCATGTAATCCGTCGTGGTCGAACCCCCCGATATCTCTTTCTTGCATGCTTCAATCGCTATTAACAAAATAAAAAAAAATAAAAAAAATAGCAGCCAAAACAATAAAAACAATCGAAATGAAAAAACAATACAGATAAAACGTAAACCCTTGGTGACAAGCTCCAAACACAAAGGAAGTTCGCGTTGAAAGACTTGAATTTTACGTCGTTCTTCTTCTAAAGCTTCAACATATTCATGGTCTCTGAGCATTTTCTGAGCCAAACCCATCTCTACCATTTACCCTTAAACAAATCCTCCTTTCACTTAAACTTGTTTCTTCTCCCTCGTTTTTCAACACCCAGATTACAGACAGTGGAAGAGGATGAATTTATGTAGGGGGGAAGGATTAGTCTTCAGACCAAATAACATAAATAGATCCGGAGAAGACGAGACAAAAGGAATCTAAACAGAATCAAATGGAGAATAAACTTTAGGTACCAAGAAAAAAATACATAAAAATCAAAGACGAATGGAAATTAAGAGAGAAAATGGAAGACAACAAGGAAAGAAAGAACACAACAAAGTCGGGGCGTCGCGTAACCAAAAAAAATTGAATCTTCGATGTTTTCCCTTTTTTGTGGCCAGAGGGAGAGAGAGTTTGTATTTAGCCTTACTTATATATACGTGAGAGAATATAAGGAAAGGGAGAGAGAGTTGAATATTCCAGATAGTGATTCGGTTTCGTCGTTTCTTGACGGAGCCGGCGATAACGTCACCTCTCTCTTCTCCACACATTACCCCCTCTCTTTGGGATGAAACACATTTTAGGCCCTAATTTTTTTAATTTTATCTAATCTGATCCCGAAACCTTTTTACCCCTAGTTTTACGTGAACTTAAACATTTGACAACTTACTACTTTAAAATTGTCTGACTGTACACCGCCACTGATAACAACTTAAGTACAAGATATTCACGGAGTCAAGATTACCCTCTTTAGTAAAGGCTTCATAGGCTGATTGATTAAGATGAAAATCTCAAATTAAATGAACAATCGATCTTTACATGTAGAAGTCTATGTGCTCACGTCTCAAAATCTCTTTGTCAAGGTACATCAACTAGATTTCCCAAAGTCTGCAAAATATCAGTGCTAATTACCTGAAGCGAGGAGTGAATCTCAAAATAACATATCATCAAAATATTAAAACTCCAAAGTCAAATACTATGTAGATAAAAAAAAAGATGAGGACTAAATTGAAATCATCTGTAAGATTAAGGACTAAATTTTGTTTTACCCTTTATTTGAGGGCTAGATCGTCTAGTGTGGGCTACTAATTGAGTGGTTGCCACGTAGGCCAAATCATATGTATGGCGTGTTAGTTTGTTTTGTTGTGTTGTGTTGGTTGTCCTACTTGGACAATCCGGTCGGCTTTTATTTTTGGGACAAGCGAAAATATGAATAAAAATAACAATGGAAACGGTGTTTGTTTAGCTCGTTGTGTAATAACATATATATATATATATATATCAAGAATATTAAGACCTTAATCTTGCCACTAAATTATATTATGGGGGTAAGATGGGATATTCTCGTCGTTGAATGTTTTATTCTTCCTTGGGGACAAGACTATTGAGCCGCACTGTGTGATATAGGAATGGCCTTTCAGTGCGTCCAAGGGTCATCTTTGCTGGCTTGATATTGATCTCCTTGTCTTAGTTACCATCGAAGACCCTGTTTTCTTTGCTGGCAGTAAAGGGTCCCACGTCTTACGTTGTTTTTCCAATCCGGTCGTTGGCTTGACAGCTAAGCAACCGGGAATACGAATTGGATGCCCTGGAGATTCTATTATTCACTTTTCTTTCTTGCTTCGTTTTATTAAATTTGACAGGTTTCTTACCGGTACTTGACCTTTGGGCATCAAAATTATTCGCAATTTTAAATTATATAAAGATGAGATAACACAAGTTTTAATTGTGATGCTACTATTATTTTAAATTCTTTTAAATAATAACCTTTTATGCTTGTTATATTTTCAGAGGAGAACCTTGAAAAATATTAATTTTCCGTTATTTAAAAGTTTTACATCGACTCTTTTGATTACATAATTTTTTTGAGAATTCAATTCTTTCGGTCAGAAGTTATTGAATCTGATATATTGTATAAACGAGACCTCTAACAGATCCAATCTATCTTAACGATATCTAAGATATGACCAATACATTTATCTAATTTGTCGATCAATGAATGGCCATAATAATTCTACAATCGACCCACGAACTAAAGATTACTTTAAATGCTCCTTAATAGAGTTGAGAAATAGAATGAAACCCTTTTTCTTCTTCCCTGTGATCTACTCTTTATGGTATAAAAACATCGACCAACAATCATTTCTTCGTTTATCACAATTCTCTATATAGATAAAAGAATAAATCATTTACAACCGACAAACTCTTGTTCTCATTAACTGTAATGCCCTGAATTTGGGGTTAGTAGTTCAGGTCAACCCAAGAACCATAAGTCGAGCTCATTAGATCTCTTAAACCTGTTTAAACCAGTTTTTGAGAGTATTGGGCTCAAGTTTGGCCCAAGAGTTTAAGATAGTGATGGTTTTATGTTGGGTTAAAAGGAGAGGGACTAAAAAAGTAGTTTACCCCTTATTTAAAGGGATTTCACGTGAAAACCAAACCCCACCAAAATATCTCCCCATTTCCTCTTCTTTTCTCTCTTCATTTTCCCTCCCAAGAGCAAGTAGAAAGGTAGAAGCTTTAAGATTCTCAAGCCTAGTTTGAAGCAACCAAGGTAAGAATCTTAATCCTCACTCTCCAAGCTTTCATTTAAACCCCTAATATTGAGTTTTGAGTATGGTTTTCAAAAATGGGGTTTTAAGAGATTAAAGGAGATTAAGAGATTCAAGCTTGTTCTAGTAAGTTTGAGTTGTTTAGAGTGTCCTTAACATTATTTTAAGCCTCAAATAAGTTAGTAAATCATTTTCTTACCTTTGTTTAGCTAAGGAATTGGGAGAAAGTTCCAAGGCTAGAGGTAAAGAAAAAGTGAATCCTAGTTGATTCGAGATGAGTTTTAGCAGAGAAGGAAGCCATGTAACACACTTACAATTCCTTCATACCCTTAGTGGGTCATTAGAAAAACAAGATAGCTTAAGAGCTAAGATTGAATTTGTTGAGTAAATTCCATGGTAGCTTTTATAATTTATGTTCATATCATGTGTAGAAGCCTTATTTATTACCCTTATGATGCGTATAAGACTTAATAAGTCACGGGAAACCTCAAAGTAGAGAAATTATGGAGTACATGTGGTAAAATTATAACATCCTCAATATTGGGTTAGTGACTAAATTGTAAAGTCTCATAATTTGGTGATTAAAATAGAATGATTGAATAGTATAAAGATTTATTTGTAAATTATTGTATGGATTTAAATTGAAAGGAAGAAAGAATAGAAGGGCAAAGAGGTTATTTATAAGGAAATAAGAAAAACAGGGTTATATATGTATCCACGTGGGTTGAAGAGGGGAGAACACAAAGGCTTCCAGAGTTCTTTTCTTCTTCTTTCTTCATTGTACGTGTAAAGCAAAACAAAGGTGAGTTTTCTGATTATTGAGTTTCTTGTTAAATTTAAGATTGGGTTTTGATTATTAGATGATAACTAAGCTTAAGGAAAGTTTAGGTTATCTTAAAATCAAAGGATGATGGAGTTAGAAGAGATTAAAGATTAGAGGTTCTTGAATGAAATCTTGGAATAAAGTTCATATCTAGAATTAGAAGTTAAATTTGACTTGTCATCAATCTAGTTAAGATATATTAAGGGTTAGAAGTGGAATTAAATCATGTTTCAAAGTTGGTATAATTCTTGGATTTCACAAGAAGGATAGGATTCTGAGGTTTAAGATGAAATAAATGAGTATAGATTGGTTTAAGTATGTGTACTGGAGTTAAGAATATAAAAGGGGATGAAACATGAAAGATTTAAGTTGAAATGGATAAGTTTCGGGTTCAAGAAATGAATTTTGGGCAGGGTGCATCGGTGCACATTCAAAGTGTACCGATGCATCAAGAGAAAATTCCAGAATTTGTTGAAGGTGCATCGATGCACATGGAATGTATCGATGCACTCATTTAAAATAAATGAACATCGAATGCTATTAGTGCATCGATGTATAAGGAGTGCATCGATGCACTTGCTTAAAATACAAACATCAAATAGGATTTATGAACCGATTCATGGGTAGTGCATCGATGCACCCGTCAAGGAATGCATCGATACATGGTGTCGTGCATCGATGCATACCTTCAGTAAGAAATGGAAATAGCTTTCTTTTAGCCTAAGGATTAATAGTTTGGAATATATCAATTCATATGCTGATAAGAATCAATGTATTATTATGTAGATCTAGAGCATAATCTTATTCCAAAACAATCGAAGGATTAGAATCGAATCAAAGCAAGGCTAAGGTGAGTGCATTTTATAGTTAAAGTATATAGAGACAAGACTTGTGATAAGTCTATCTCTGATAGTTGAATTAATCATTCCATACCCATGTATATGCATACATATACTATTGTAATAGTGATTGCATGCATAATTCATTATATGTTCATATGACATTGAATGAATGAATATAATTACCAGAGAATATAATCCAGGTATGTGAAATACTGGAAAAGATTATGGGTTTATATGAAAAGTAATGAAAGAGATATGAAATGAGAAATGTATTCATATTAAAGCCCATGTTATATGATACGAGAGCTATAGGTATAGTTGGCATACCAAGAGTCGAGGGTATATTAGTCCTTCGGGACATAGTGGTCATTCGGGACAAATACTGAACAAATGTTCAGTGCCCCATGAGGGAATTTATTGAGCTATGGTGACAACATCAGTGCACAACCTCAATGTACTCAAATACCTCTGTTCTTAATAATGTACATGGGCAATTGAAAGATAAATTAAGGTGAAAGTGATACAATAAGATAAGTTTCATATGTACATGATATGATTATATCGGTTATAGTGAAATACATACATGCATATTGAAATGTCATGATCAAATGGTAAGAATGCATATTCATGAATCTATAGCTACATGTTTATTTATTGTCTCACTAAGTCTATGAATTAGCGTGTAAGTGATTTACACGTAGGTACCAGGAAATAAGAAGAGCAGTACTAGAAGTGGCAAGAATAGCATCACCACTAAAAGATCATATCAGAAGTAATAGGCAAAGTAGATATTTTGGGTTGTGTATAGAGTGTGGGCATGTAATAAGTTGTTAATTACGAATGCTCTGATCGATTTTGTAGTTTGTGATCTCTTTTATGAAATTAACGTATTTTGTTTTAATGAAAGTTTAAAATTTCCCTGTTTTTCTTTAAGTGACAAAGTTTGAAAAGTTAATGTGACATCTCAGACTCATATTCGGGTCGGATACGGGTTAGAGGTGTTACATTTAATGGTATCAGAGCTACAGTTTAGTCGATTCTCAGTATAAACTGAAGTCTAGAAGGTCTTATAAAGTATACATGCTAATAAATTAGTGAAAACTTCTGATCTGATAAAATAGTAAGTATGTTGTTTTTCTAATAGAATGATATTATTGTGTCTTAATAGATGTCCGGACATGGTAGTTCTAGAAATGAAGTGGGAGATGATAGACCCGCTGAAAGTAGCAATTCACCTGCCCTAGCCAGGCAGAGTGAAGAACAGACACCCTCTAGAGTGCATGCGAATAAACAAGATGTATTCTTTAGAACGTTAGACGCGGTATTGACGTATTTCCAACCTCCTACTACTTCAACTCCAAAAATAAATATTGCGAAAGAGTTGAAGGGTTTAGGATCTCCCGAGTTTAGAGGGGAAGTTGAGGAAGGTCCTGTTACTGCGGACCTTTCGCTTAATGACGTAAAAGTCATACTTGAGGGACTTCATTTTTCCGATGCTGAGATTGTATAATCTCAAGACCAACGAGGATCGAGATGACCCAGAGATTGTAATAGGTACCTTTCTATTGTTTGATAAACATGTTATGGTATTGATTAATACGGGGTCTACATATTCATACATTACTAGTAAGTTAGTGAGCGAATTAAACATTCCGTTAGAAACTACTAGCAATGAGGTGATAGTGACGAATCCATTAGGGCACAATGCTCGTGTAAATATGGTGAGTCGAGGATGTCCCATATGGATTCAGGGAATTGAATTTCCTGCTAATATGATGGAATTACCTTTTGACGAATTCGAGGTGATACTGGGAATGGACTGGTTATATTGTTACTATGCTAATATTGATTGTAGAATGAAAATAGTAACGCTGAGAAGTCAAGAAGGAGTAGATGTGGTGGTATTTAGTGAAGGATGGAATCCATTGACAAATGTAATTTCAGTAATGTCGACGAAGAAGTTAATGTTACAATGATGTCAAGGGTTCATTGCTAATGTATTGGGTGTTAGAACCAAGGAGAAAGGGATTGACGAAATTCTTATAGTAAGAGAGTTTTCTGACGTTTTTTTTTGCTGAGTTACCGGGTTTGCCTTCAGATAGAGAAGTGGAATTCCATATTGAAATAATGTCTGGAACTTCACTTATTGCAATGTCACCATACAGAATGGCTCCAAAAGAGTTGCAAGAATTAAAGATTAAATTACAAGAATTACTGGATAAAGGTTTTATCAGACCGAGTTTCTCACCATGGGGAGCTCCAGTTTTGTTTGTTAAGAAGAAAGATGGTTCAATGCGTCTTTGCATTGACTACATGCAACTTAATAAAGTGACTATCAAGAATAAATATCCACTTCCTCGAATCGATGACTTATTTGATCAATTAAAGGGAGTTTCAGTATTCTCGAAAATTGATTTACGTTCGGTTTATCACCAATTGAAGATTCAAAAGAAAGATGTTCTAAAGACGGCGTTTAAAATGAGGTATGGTCATTATGAGTTTATCGTGATGCCGTTTGGAGTTACGAATGCACTAGCAGCTTTCATGGATTTAATGAACAGAATATTCCAACCCTATTTGGATCAGTTCATGGTGGTTTTCATTGATGATATTTTAATATATTCAAAGTCAGAGGAAGAGCATAGTTCGTATTTGAAAATTTTCTTGTAGATTTTACGAGATGAGAAGCTTTATGCTAAACTTTCTAAATGTGAATTATGGTTGAGTGAATTGACATTCATTGGACATGCAATTTCTTCAGAAGGAGTTCGAGTGGATCCTCAAAAGATTAAAGCTATTCTGGACTGGGAAGTTCCAAAGAATGTATCGGAAGTTAGAAGTTTTCTGGGATTAGCTGGTTATTATCGAAAGTTCGTTAAAAACTTTTCCATAATAGCATTACCCCTAACTAAGCTGTTGAGAAAGGAGATAAAATTTTTGTGGACCCATGAATGTCAAGAGAGTTTTGAAAAGTTAAAGAAGATTTTGACAGAAGCTCCAGTGTTGATTCAACCCGAGTCTGGCAAGAACTTTGTAGTGTACATTGATGCGTCTCATAACGGTTTGGGATGCGTGTTAATGCAAGAAGGCAAAGTAGTGGCCTATGCTTCGAGGCAACTAAAACCACACGAAAGAATTATCCTACACATAATCTGGAGATGGCGGCAGTAGTGTTTGCTCTTAAGATCTGTCGTCACTATTTGTATGGTAAAAAGTGCTACTTGTATACGGATAATAAGAGTTTAAAGTATTTGATGACTCAGAAAGAGTTGAATTTAAGACAAAGAAGATGGGTGGAATTTCTTAAGGATTATGACGTAGTGATCGATTTCCATCTAGGAAAAGTGAATGTTGTAGTGGATGCCTTAAGTCAAAAGACGTTTGCAGCCTTACGAGCTTTGGATGCTAGACTATCGTTAAGAGGAGACGGTGCTATATGTGCGGAATTAGCTCTCAATCCATCATGGCTAGATCGAATTAGAGTATTGCAGGCTAGAGATGAAAAGTGTTCAAAGAAACTACATCAAATAAGGAATGGAGAGTGTACAGATTATGAGATGAAAATGGATGGGAACCTATATTATCAAGGGAGGCTAGTAATTCCAGATGATAATAAATTAAAGACTGATATATTAATGGAAGCTCACTGTAGTCCATTAACACTGCATCCAGGAGGAAACAAAATGTATATGGATCTCAAGAGTTGATATTGGTGGCCTGGAATGAAGAAAGACATTACGGAAATTGTATCAAAGTGTATAACTTGTCAACAAGTCAAAGCTGAGCATCAGGTTCTGTCGGGACTATTACAATCAGTATCAATTCCTTAGTGGAAATAGGAGAATGTAACAATGGATTTTGTGACGGGGTTACCTTTAACTCCGAACAAAAGGGATTCAATCTGGGTGATTGTAGATAGATTGACTAAGTCAGTCCATTTTATCCTGGTGCGAACTGATTTCTCCATGGATAAATATGTCGAACTATATGTTAGAGAAATTATACGTTTACATGGTATACATGTTTCCATAATTTCTGATCGGGATTCTAGATTCACATCACGATTTTGGAAATCATTACATAAAGCGTTAGGAAATCGGTTGAACTTTAGTACATCATTTCATCCTCAGATCGATGAACAATCCGAGCGAACTATCCAAGTTTTGGAGGATATGCTTAGAGCTTGCATAATCGAATTCAAATGATTATGGGAAAGGTATTTGCCACTTGCTAAATTTGCATATAACAATAGTTATCAGTCAAGCATCAAAATGGCTCCCTATTAAGCTCTTTATGGGAGAAGATGTTGTACGCCCTTGAATTGGTTTGAGCTTAATGATAAAGAAATTATTGGTCCCGAGTTGATTCAGGAAATGGAAGAAAAAGTTCAAGTGATTCAGAGTAACATCAAAGCAGCAACTGATAGACAGAAATCGTATGCAGATTTAAAGAGAAAGGAAATAGAATATCAAGTTGGAGACAAAGTGTTTCTCAAAGTTTCTCCTTGGAAGAAGGTTCTGAGATTTGGACGTAAAGGAAAATTGAGTCATCGGTTCATTGGACCCTATGAGATTATTAAGAGATTAGGATCAGCAGCATATCAGCTAGCTTTGCCATCTGAAATAGAAAAGATACACAATGTCTTTCATGTCTCAATGCTTTGGAAGTATCGATCTGATCTATCCCATATCGTGAATACTGAAGAGATCGAGGTTCAACTAAATTTGACTTATGAAGAGGAACCTATTCAAATACTAGTTCACAAGGTTAAACAACTAAGAAACAAGACTATTCCATTGGTTAAAGTCTTGTGGAGGAATCACAAAGTAGAGGAAGCAACATGGGAGCGTGAAGAGGACATGAGGATTAAGTACCCCTATCTCTTTGTGTAATGAAAATTCGAGGATGAATTTTCTTAAGGGGGAGATTTGTAACATCCTCAATACCAGGTTAGTGACTAAATTGTAAAGTCTCATAATTTGGTGATTAAAATAGAATGATTGAATAGTATAAAGATTTATTTATAAATTATTGTATGGATTTGAATTGAAATGAAGAAGGAATAGAAGGGCAAAGAGGTCATTTACAAGGAAATAAGAAAAAGAAGGGTTATATATGTATCCACGTGGGTTGAAGAGGGGGGAACACAAAGGCTTCCAGAGTTCTTTTCTTATTCTTTCTTCCTTGTACGTGTAAAGAAAAACAAAGGTGAGTTTTCTGATTATTGAGTTTCTTGTTAAATTTAAGATTGGGTTTTGATTATTAGATGATAACTAAGATTAAGGAAAGCTTAGGTTATCTTAAAATCAAAGGATGATGGAGTTAGAAGAGATTAAAGATTAGAGGTTCTTGAATAAAATCTTAGAATAGAGTTCATATCTAGAATTAGAAGTTAAATTTGACTTGTCATCAATCTAGTTAAGACATATTAAGGGTTAGAAGTGGAATTAAATCATGTTACAAAGTTGTTATAATTCTTGGATTTCACAAGGAGGATAGTATTCTGAGGTTTAAGATGAAATAAATGAGTATAGATTGGTTTAAGTATGTGTACTGGAGTTAAGAATATAAAAGGGGATGAAACATGAAAGATTTAAGCTGAAATGAATAAGTTTTCGGGTTCAAGAAATGAATTCTGGGCAGAGTGCATCGGTGCACATTCAAAGTGTATCGATGCATCAAGAGAAAATCCCAGAATTTGTTGAAGGTGCATCAATGCACATGGAGTGTATCGATGCACTCATTTAAAATAAATGAACATCGAATAGGATTTATGAACCGATGCATGGGTAGTGCATCGATGTACTCGTCAAGGGACGCATCGATACATGGTGTAGTGCATCGATGCATTAAGAGATGGAAATATCTTTCTTTTAGCCTAAGGATTAATAGTTTAGAATATATCAATGCGTATACTGATAAGTATCAATGTATTACTATGTAGATTTAGAGCGTAATCTTATTCCAGAACAATCGAAGGATTAGAATCGAATCAAAGCAAGGCTAAGGTGAGTGCATTTTATAGTTAAAGTGTATAGAGACATGACTTGTGATAAGTCTATCTCTGATAGTTGAATTAATGATTCCATACCCATATATATGCATACATATCCTATTGTAATAGTGATTACATGCATAATTCATTATATATTCATATGACATTGAATGAATGAATATCATTGCCAGAGAATATAATCCAGGTATGTGAAATACTAGAAAATATTATGGGTTTATATGAAAAGTGATGAAAGAGATATGAAATGAGAAATGTATTCATATTAAAGCCCATGTTATATGATACGAGAGCTATAGGTATAGTTGGCATGCTAAGAGTTGAGGGTATATTAGTCACTCGAGACATATCCAGTGGTCCTTCAGGACGTATCCAGTGGTCATTTGGGACATATCTAGTGGTCCTTAGGGACATAGTGGTCCTTCGGGACAAATACTGAACAAATGTTCAGTGCCCCATGAGTGAATTTATTGAGCTGTGGTGACAGCATCAGTGCACAACCTCAATGTACTCAAATACCTCTGTTCTCAATAATGTACATGGGCAATTGAAAGATAAATTAAGGTGAAAGTGATACAAGAAGATAAGTTTCATATATACATGATATGATTATATCGGTTATAGTGAAATACATACATGCATATTGAAATGTCATGATCAAATGGTAATAATGCATATTCATGAATCTATAGCTACATGTTTATTTATTGCCTCACTAAGTCTATGACTTAGCATGTAAGTGGTTTACACGTAGGCACCAGGAAACAAGAACAGCAGTACTAGAAGTGGCAAGAATAGCATCACTACTAAAAGATCATATCAGAAGTAATTGACAAAGTAGGTATTTTGGGTTGTGTATAGAGTGTGGGCATGTAATAAGTTGTTAATTACGAATGCTCTGATCGATTTTGTAGTTCGTGATCTCTTTTATGTAAATTAACGTATTTTGTTTTAATGAAAGTTTAAAATTTCCCTGTTTTTCTTTAAGTGACAAAGTTTGAAAAGTCAATGTGACACCTCGGACTCATATTTGGGTCGGATACGGGTTAGAGGTGTTACAAAAATAGTACCCAATTAGGGCAATTTTGAGAGTGGGTATCGATACTGTTAGAGGCAGTATTAATACTGTTCATAGTAAAGGTATAAAATTCAAAGAGTTATGAGGGCAGGATCGATACCCCTTAAAGGAGTATCAATACTGAGGGTTCGATATCAAGATTGAGGAGCTTGGTATCGAGATTAGTATTCTAGAATGACATTTTGGTATCGGTACTCTAGGGAGTATCGATACCTAGGGTCTCAGTATCGATACTCCCATATAAGTACTGATATTCTTTTTTTTAAGAGAAACAAGCATAGGGGTATCGATACCTTGGGTAGGGTATCAACACTATAAGTCCAGTATCGATAATGTAAGTCCAGTATCGATACAAAGGTTATGTTGTGGGCTTTAAAGCAAGAGGGTTTGGAGAGGCAAGTGAGGTTTTCCAAGAGCTTATAAATTCTCCTAAATAAGACTACAAGTAAGAACAATAATTGTGCTTAATCAAACGTAGAAACGAGATAAAGTAGGGCGTCATAAAACTAGCATTGTTTGAATGCTCGGGAAACGATTAGGACACCTGAGTTCCTTTAGAAAAGCTAGAGGTGTCGATGTATAGATGCAGTCCGGATATCCTTAGGTAGTGCGCAAGACACTTTAAACTGACTAACTAGGGTGCGAGGTCCGACACCCGCGAGAGGTGGGTTAATCGAGGGTGTTGTGTCCAATGCAATGATTTCGGGACATATACTTAGTAGACTAGAGGGGTGCGTGAGCTTCGAGATGCAGAGATCCCTCAGCCGCACCATGATGTCTACCCTAGAGTAGAGAGTGAGTATGCGTATGAGATTGGATAGCTTGATGTATTTCCCCGATACACTTTTAGTATGATCTAGTTATTAGTGTGGCACTGAGCTATTTAGCTCAACGTTTGAAATTTGTTTCCTTACGTAGATTAGGTGGAGCAATTGAGGAGCTTAGAGTAACCGAGGTCCAAACCAAGTGCGGATCAGAGTATGTCTCAGCTTTTTGAATGGCATGAATATATGTAAACCATGTTGTAAAGTTGAGCCATAAATGTATTTTAAAGTCGGTCTGTATTATTATTTTTGAATGTATATACTTATTTTGGGAGCTCCCCAGATGTAAAGTTTTAATTATATTTTTATGGGTGATTTATTATGAAAAGGATTTTAAAATAGTCGTTTTAAAGCAAGAGAAATAAGAAACAAATATTGGTCAATCACTCTGGTGGTTCTGTGTAGCATCCTAATCGGTCGACTGTGTGTCGTACCAGTCTAGGATGTTACATTAACCATACTTATTATATGACTTCGAAGTCGAGAAAAAGATGATCAAATTTTCCATTTTCAGAGAAGGACGTGTAACTTGGGAGGTATACTTTTAGCCTTGTAGTTTCTTCTTTGAAATTGTTGAATCCAATCACATGAGGGAGTATCGGGCCTAATAAATATGGGTTAGACCAATTCACGCTGACAAGTTTGCTTAACTTGGCCTATAAATTTATTAGTGTTCAAACATAGTTTATAAGTTCAAATTGGTATATAAATTTAGTTTCACGATTCAAATAAATCATTTATCATAAGTACTAATTTAGACCAAAAGGTGAAATTCATGTACCGATCAGAACCATAAAGTCAAGTTTAAATATCTAACTCAGTAAAAAAGTTTAAGTACCAAATTACATCTTAAAGCTAAACCCAGACACTTAATTGGACAGAAAATAGGTACCAAATTGTCATTTACCTTTTTAAAAATATTTTTATATTAATTTAAGATCACTAGATAGATAGTTGAGATAAAAAGTGAAAAAATGAGGAGATTTTTATAAGTAAATAATAATAATTGAATAATGTGAATGTATAAAAATCTAATCTCAATTTGCATCCATCCAATAGTATTAAATATGTGTAAGATTAAAAAATTACTTACAATATAAATAGATTCTATCTTACGTAATCATTAAATTTAATTTATTAATCAATTAATTTAAATCGAATGTTATAGATTGTTCGTTATAAACATCGTCCTTCTAATTTATTTATTCCTAATTTTCTAACTCATGTTAATACATTGCTTTAAAAAATAAATGTCAAAGTCGGAAAATGAATAATATATCAAGTCAAAAACATACAGCACCAAACAACAAATTCAATAAGAATGCAATCTTTTCTTGAATTTTTTTTTCTTGCGGTTCTTAAAGTTTTATTTTGGTTAATTCGAATCGATTCGAGTCGCACATTTAATTTTGATGAAAAAGTCTTCTAATGAAATTTTTTTATATACACTAAGATTTAAACTCGAGATTCACTTAAATGATGTAAACATACTTACCACTCGAGACCTGCACCTACGGCTCTATATAGAGCTCTAAGTTTTAATGGTTGTTTAATGTTTGCCTTTCGTATTCTTAATTGTGTATAGCCAGACAGCAGTCAAGCTCGGTGGTAACCGGTAGGCATAAGTCGATAAAGATATTCCACCCACGTGTATTTTCCTATTATTCTACGATTATAAAGTAAAATCTTTATTAATTAAAGATAATACATATTTTATATATACAACAAATTTAATTTCTTTTAAAAATAATATTTTTTTTATCGTTAAAGTACTCAGTGAGTTAATTCTACTATTATTCTATGTTCTAACACAACATAACATTGACTATAACACATAGCAATTCTCTCTAAATAATTAAATATACAGGATGTTCAAACATTAACCTAAACACTATTGCTAGTCAATCGGCTTATATTGACGACCATAAAATTAAGTTCGAACATTTACTATATTATTAAGACAAATAATACAGACTTCGAATATAAAATAAATAATTAAAAACAACAACAACAACAAAGATTAACCTAAACAGAGGGACAGTACAAGACAGCTTTAGATCTAAACCGCATAGTTCAACGATAGTGCTCCGGAAAACTGATCAGATAGTGAAGTTCCGATCTAAATCACTTTGTAAAATTACGGATGGTAGCATGAGGTTCGGTCGCTTTAGCAGCCGCCGAGGGCTCGACGGCCGGGGACGGTGGAACCGGATTCCCTAGTAGATCAGCTGGCAAATCCGGTATACCTTTCAAGTAGAAAGTATAAAAAAGTTTCATCGGGAAAACTATCTGATGCAGCTTTACTTGGCCGTATGCTCCTTCAAAAATCCCAGATCCTCCGGTCACGGCCAAGAATGTATCCTCGTACGTTAAATAGGGCCCCTGGACAGATAAATGGCCGTAGTCGCCGAAGTAGAAGCTGTAAATGGCTTCATATCGGTCGCCTTTTTTCTCCGGAAAGTGCTGGATCAGCACACAGAGACCGGCCGTTATGCCGATCCTTTTCTGCAAGTCACCGGAGTAGAGCTTGTTGGTGAAAGGGACCAGATCACCCAGCGAGTTTATAGGTTTTTGACTCAGTTTCAAAACTGCAGGGCTGCTCCTATCTCTCTCGTTGAGTTCATAAACGTGGAGCTCTTGAACTCGGGCTGAAACGTGAAAACCCAGACATTAAAATCAATCAAAAGTTTGAAAATTTAATGGAGGAACGAGGTGGAATTGTACTTACAGGGTTTGGGAGTAGCTGGTTCGGCCGGCTTGTTCTTTTTGAAGAAGAAGGCTGTGGTAGAGAAGCGCTTAGAGGATCTCGATGAGGTGAAGAAAAAAGTTGAGATGTTGAGGCCATGGAACTGAGAAGGCTTTGAATAAGAAAATTTTGAACCTAAAACGCCGTGAGATTGGGGCGGTGAACTGCGATGCTCAGCCAACTTGACGGCGGGCATCGGGTTCAGAGAGGTGGAAAGTGCCATTAACGGTGTTGGAAAGTTGGTGAAGACGAAGAAGACGACCGAATCTTAAGACTTGGAAGGTGTTTTATTTTGTGTGATAATTTCTGATCACAACTTCGGTAAAAATACAAATAAACACAAGTGTTGAAGGACCTCGAATTTATATTTTATACACTAATCCACATGTGAATGAGATGACGGGTCCTGATTAGTTTTATTCAACGATATTTTCTTAAAATTCAGATAATTTTACTCTGTTTTAAAAATATTTTATCAAAATCATCATAATTTATAAACAACTTTAATAAATACTGTAAAATTTATCATATTTTTTTTAAAAATATTTTTTTTACAAGTACCGTTCCTCTAATCTTATTTTATTTTATCATTTCCCCTAATTTAACTGACTAAGTAAAACATCAATTACTTTTAACAGTTAAAATATGGAGCCTTAACTAAAATAATCAAAACCGATCACACATTCGTTATGTCGAATAAGGGACCAAATGGAATATTTACTGTTAGTCGAAACCACGTGTCATATGCAAATATAAATATAAAGTGTAATTTTTTAATGATATAATACATGCATAATTCTATATGATATTACTTTATTAAATTCTTCGAGTGTTAATTTACTCCCCCACAAAACCCAAACAACTCTTTATTATTGTGTTTTTACTGTTTAAGGTAATTGGTTTAGTTATAAACTTAGTCCTTCGATTTTATAATAAATGAAGAATTATTAAAAAAATGTTATACTTTTACTATTTAACATATAGACAAATTTTTAAAAAACTTATCAGTGAACCGAAATCCATTCTAAAAAAATCTACCCCAACGATAAAATTAACGAATTACAATTTCGTATCCATTTTAAGACCCAAAGCATGAACTATTAAAAAGTTAAAAAAAATCCTTCGACTATAGATTATTACTTTGTTAAGTTCACTGACTATTAAAAATACAAAATGATCACTCAACTATTCATTATATTCCATACTTGTCTTTTTTCGTTAAAAAACTAGCGGTTGTCTAAGCTAAACGTTAACATGATGACTGTGATATGATAGTCATTTAAGATTCTGATATCAAATTTTATCATATCACAATCAGTAAGTTAACGTCCAACTCAAAATACAATCAATTTTTGATAGAAAATGACGAGTTTGAAACATAATAAATAGTTGAGTGACAATTTTGTGACTTTTAATAAGAGGGACTCAACAAAGTAATACTCTATAGTTGGATGATCATTTTATAACTTTAAATAGTTAATGAACTTAATAAAGAAAAACCCTATAGTCAAAAGACTGTTTGTGTAATTTACCCTTTTCTGAATATATGAAAATATGTCGCCTTCGAGAACCAAACGGCAGCCTGAAAAAACACATCGTATCGTACAAACAACTTTTGCATATTCAATAGCTTTCGGCTAAAAGATAACATTTTCTAATCAAGCTTACATTCTGTTGCTTTAGAGGGACCTTATAAAGCAGTGGCGGATCTAGAAATTTATAAATGAAGATGCAAATTTTTTTTTCTTTTCTTAAAAATAATGAAGGTGCAAAAAAAATTTCTTCCAATTTTCTCTAACATATTAGACTAAATTTCATTTTTTTTCCTTAATAATGAGGATGCACTTGACCCCTAAGGGGCTTAGTGCATCCGTCCCTGAAGGAAGCCAATATGCAGCTTTTACCTATATGAGCATAATGTGCCAAATATATAATCGATTAAAGATTTGAGTCTTCCCATTTAGTTAGAATCTCCGCACCGGTTCTAGTGATTAGGATGGTATGTTCGAACTGTGCGGCGGGGCTGCCATCGGGACTCAAAGTTGTCCAGTTGTCCGGCCATGTGGTGCACTCGATGCCTCCCAGAATAAGAATTGGTTCTGCAGCATAAATAAGGGACATGCATCAATATACATACATGAATTTCTAATATAAACGAAAGAACATGACAGCCGTTGATGTTCTAGTAGGTACAATCGGAAATGAAAAGACAGCCGACATTCCGCGTCTACATTTTAAGAAAAACCATTGAAGCATGTAATCTAAATACTACAGGTGAAACAATTTACTTCAAGACTTCACCTGACAACTTGATTACTAATCACTCAACTTCTCGATCGATAGCTTTAAAATATTAATATGTGCTTTAGGGTGCCATTATAGACAAGTACTTTCGCATACGGTAAAATATAGTTGCAAATAACCGTGCACTTCAAATGATGCTTGTTTCATCCTCTGCTCGTCCATCCTCCCATAAATAACCAAAATAAACCGAGAAAGTCTAAAGACATTTTTCAACTGACTGAAATATCTCATAAGCGCGACACATACTTTGAATTAGAGCCTTTGACTATAGAATGCGCATGCAAATAAAGATAAGATCGTGCTCACCGATGGTAAATGTTTCAGCTTTAACCATGTGACCAGAACCTTCATTGCCTGTCAAGTAATTAATAATTACATTTAGAAAGGATTGGTTAGGGAAAAAGATCAGATATTATACAAATGCCATCCCCTCCCACTCAAGAAGGGGGGGGGGGACTAGGTTACCTTCATCCTATTAATACTTATGATGATGTATAATTGGCTCAGAATGAAAAAAGTCCCGACACTGTGCCCAACAAAACGCTCCACCACTCCATAGCCATATTTTTCGGCATGCTCACTGAGATGACATTAACAATAGACAGTTAAAATGGACAACGAGTTCAGGAAACTATTCAATATGTCACATACAACCAGAGAATTGAATCTGTGACATTATTAGGTATCATGTCACTTTATCCAAAGCACAAGACAAGAAGCATGCCTAAGCTATAATGCTATATCAGGGCAAGCTTGTTCTTTAAACTGAATAATTATAAAGAGACTAGATAACAAACAATTCATGACACTTGAGCCCAATTATTTGAAAACTTTTGCTTCAATTAAGTTGTTTGAAACTGTTAAATTATAACAAGTTCAAGGTTTCCATGTAGTTATAGATTCTAACACTAACAAATGACTCTTGATCGGTTCTCACAGTTTAACGAGGCATCTGAGCATTAGTCATTCGCCAGATGATACAATCATATAATTTTATGTGCAAATATCTTTATTCCTTTCAAACCCTAAACAATAAAGAGGGAAGGTATGGAGAAAACCTTATTCTTTTTCCAATTTTTTTGAAACTAGCACCATCTTTGCAAACAGCTATGCCTTTCTCCAAGCACTCCTCGGTTACCTTCAAAAAGGGTAAGAATCCAACGAGTCAATTACATGTAAAAAGTTGTACTTTAAAATTAATCATATCATTATAAAGATGGTTAATCCTAAAAGGCCAAAAACAGCAAAGCAGAACTTCACACACAAGTGCAAATAGATATTACAAACTCTTCAAATAATAGGGAAGTTGGTGACAATTAGAATTCTTTATTTCCATACAAATCATAGTTGAACTTACTTGTACAAGGCGTTTAACTGGGCCACTGACGTCTCCACAGAGAAATGTCCTTGATGTGTCTCCGTGATAACCCTAAGAACCAAAGGATATGCCATGCAGCTTTGTAATTGTAAGGTATTGCGGCTCAACTAAAGGAAGTTCATGGCCATATATGTGCTAATATATTTAAAAAACCTTGTAAATAAATAAACAAACGATAAGATTGATTTCTAAGAGAATTAACCATATGGTATAAATCGAGGACATACATTTAGGTACACTGTCACATCTATGTTTATAATGTTCCAAACTGCAGCAAAGATGAGAGCTAGTGATAAAATATACTAGCAATGTTTGTACAATCACAAAGGCCCATATACAATACTGTAGCTGGCAAGAATCAGGTATTCCGTGGCACAGGCACTCATTAACCGAAGTGCATACACTCTTAGGGAACCCACCATACCCAAGAGGTGAAGGATAAGCACCCGCCTCTATTATAATCTGGTGCACAGCTTTGTCAATTTCATCTGTTGTCACTGATGGCTGATAAGATTTTTTTTTTAAAATGTTGATGAGTGCATTTATTTAAAGAGATTTGGTAGTTAAATGATTTTAAAGAACATAGAGTGCTTAAAATGAGATGAACCACAACGATGAATTAGCATATTCATCATTAATACCAAAATCTAATACTAAAAACTATCAATAATGCTAATAACTTCAGATAAGCAGGAGAGTTTGACAAGAACATGATTCTTCTGCTGTTAACAAAATGGGGTGGGGGATTTCTCACCCTAACTAATGTCCCTGCATAGTTTAAGACACAAGCAGCAAGCTCACGGGCAGCTCTCATTCGAGCAATGCCTTCAGCATCATGAATCTGATGTTCGCTAGAAATTTCATGCAATATATTTGAATCTAAATAAGGAGGCTTTGGTATGTGATCAGGAACAGGAAGACGTGGTGACACCTTCCCTCGTCTTAAAGGTGGCGGCCTTCTAAACTTTGGCGTACCCTGAAGTTCACGCTCTCTGCATAAGATTGAAAATCTCACAACCAAATGACTAAGCAAAATGAGTCCTTCAAACTTATGTACTAATGTTATGCCTGGTGTGTAATTCACGAGTTAACAATAAACTAACTTCATTTGATAATTTTTAGCCACTCACATGACTTGGTTTGAACAAAGAGAATGAATATATATTGCCTGTTTTGAATTGGTACCATTTTTCACTAGAGTTTTTCAAGTTTAGATTTGCACTAAACTCCACATAAAAGTAATCGCTTCAACCCAAAATTAACAACCGAACACAGTTCATGGTATTAAAGCAACAATTTTTTTAATGCATCAGAAGAGGAAGACCAAACCTCCTTATTCTCAAGGCTTCCTCTAAACCTGATACCCTCTTGGCATAAACAAGCAGCTGTTGTCGAGGACGACACTCTTTCCCTGAATGATTAAAAACATTAAGGTAGTGCAGAAAGAACAGAGCACCATCATTTCTTTTTCTAATTTTTGCATTGCTTAATGAATTGGGTAATAGAGATTGAGGAGAAACAAACCGTGGAGAGTAGAAGAATGGGAAGTGAGTGGGAAACCCACGAATAGATTTAACTTTGATGACGATGATGAACACAATTGTTGGTCATGTAACAAGGAAGAAGAAAGGCCATGGCCATGAGAAACTGAAACATAGAAACCCATTTCCTTTAATTTTTTAGGGTAAAGTATGATTTTAGTATATAAATTATCAGTTTTAATTTATTATAGTAACTATGCTTTTAATATTTTTAAAATTATACTTAAAGTTTAGTTAGTTTTTTTTTTATTTTAATATTCGTTCAAAATTTAATTTTAAGGTACTAAAACATACAAAAAAATGATAGCTTAAGTATTAAACGTGTTAAGTTTTTAACGAAAATGTACTAAAATGAAATAAAAACGAAACATTAGGTATGATTTTAAAAAATTAAAAATTTTAAATATTAAAATGGATTAAAACTGATAATTTAGATATTAAATGTGTTTATTGTTGAACAGAAAAAAATGCAGCATAAAGACTTTTTTTCATGGGCTGGGTGCAAACACAGGATGGGAAGGAAGGCCTTTATTTGATTAAGTCTCCGGCATGGTTACTTGGTGGGCGCAAGGTTTCCATACAAACACAATATTATAAGTCCAATATGCAGAGATGGGCCTTTAAATCCGACCTGACCTGATCGGGTCAAATTTTTCTAAAAAAAAATTGGGTTCGGATCGGGTCGGTCAGATTTTTTTATGTTGGGTTCAGGGTGAAAAAAATCCGACCCGACCCGACCCGAAAAAATATATAATTTTACCATATATATTTAGGATAATTACAATAATACCCCTCTATATATAATTTTTTTAATTAAGTCACTATTTTTATTGAATAAAATAATTTTTTTATTATTTCGGTCGAGTCGGATCGGGTGGACCAAAAACCCGACCCATGCCCATCCCTACCAATATGTATGCCTTCTTAATTGTTATCGTTACAAGAGTAAAATTTTTGATTAACTATTTATTTCATCCCCCTACTCTTGTATTTGTGTTGATTAAGTCCTTTTTACGTGTTTCTTTACTGTTATAACCCATTTATTTGATTAATTATTTTGAACATTGGTTTCATTATTACTATTATTTTCTATTAATTAATAATATTATATATTATTTAATTTATTATTATTATTACCATCATTATATATATATATATCAATTTCAAAATAATTATATTATATTTTTTATTTTCGTATTTTTATTATTAGGGTAAAGTACACACGTGGTCTCTCGACTATAGGGTAATACTTTGTTGAGTCCCTTAACTATCAAAAGTTACAAAATGGTCCCCCAACTATAGGATATTGCTTTGTTGAGTTTCCCTACTATTAAAAGTTACAAAATGATCACTCGACTATTCATTATATTCAAATTCATCATTTTCCGTTAAAAAATTGACGACCGACTAAGCTTGATGTTAATCTATTGTTTGATATATGATAAAATATGATCTCAGAATCTCGAAAGACTATCATATCTCAGACAACATATTAGTATCCAGCTTAGACCGCCGTCAATTTTTTTAACAAAAAAGGACGAATTTAGAATAGAATGAATAGTCGTGTGACCATTTTGTAACTTTCAACAGCTGGAGGACTCAACAAACCGACATCCTATAATCGAAGATAAATTTGTAACTTTTGATAGTCGAAAGACTCAACAAAATAGTACGTTACAGCTGAAGGACCATGTGTGTACTTTACCCTTATTATTACTGTTATTTACAATAACATGTTATATTTTTCTTTTGTAGGATCATTTTTCTAGAAGATACACATTTCTATTAATATTTTTATTTACTTTTATATTTTACTACTACTATTATAGTTTATTATTATTATTATTATCAGTTTTGCTAATATTTTTTCCCTTTTGTAGAGTCATTGATTTTTCCCATAATATCGAGGCAACACAACTCTTTTGCTTACTAATTTTGGGTGGTGTGATGCATTTTAATATTTCCATCACGTAATCGACTTTCAAATTTATTTATGATCTTGATATAAGATATAAACAATATTTATGGTATTTAATCGTATCTAGTCTAAAATAATGGATAATGACTTCAATCATAATGGTTTTTTTTTTTTTTAATTTTAACACATTCAAGCATCGAGATATCTTTAAAAATACCAAATGAATAATATAATGGAGATTGATTACTGACATTCTATAAGCCACTTGTTTGATTCCGACCATCACTATTTACAATCAAGATTGAGAATTTATTCATTAATATTTAAAACTTTATTATCATAAAATTTAAAAAAAAAAAACTTATTTGAAGAATGTGATGCTTATGATCTTTGAAGGAGATAATACGAAGGATTTGGTCCCTACAAGAATCGATGTGGCATATCGGATTAGAGGTGTAAGTTATAAGTTTTATATGATAATTTGGTTTACCTTTGAAAAATATTAATTTATATATAATGTTATTAATCGGATTAAATACATGTATTTCTATTTCTTGTTTAAGTTAGATTAATATATATGTTTTTTATTTTTGAATAGTCTTAGTAAATATAAGATAATTTATATCTATAATATTTTAATTAATTGATAACGTACACATTACAGATGTCAAATTCAAAATTTTTAGAGAAAATATCATTTCTTTTAATCACTTAGCCTATTTTATGAGTTCTAAGATATGTTTAGGAAATAATCACATCGTTCCCCTATATATAACGGCATATGATTCACGGTCCATATCCCAATTCGGCAAGGGGTCTTGGCATTTTTGGCAGCTATGGTGGTCGATAAGCCCCACGTCGCAGTCCTGCCAAATATGGGCCTTGGCCATCTCATCCCACATTTGGAGTTTGCTAAGCGCCTGGTGGTTCACCATGGTATCCGGGTGAGCTTACTTGTCATCACCACGAGTGAACCATCGGCAGCCGCGCAAGGCCAACTCCTTAGCTCGCCTCACCTCCCTCCCGACCTCAACATCGTCCGTCTTCCTCCCGTCGATAAAATGATCCTCGATCACGATGACGTTCTAGTCCTAACCCGGCTTTGTACCATTACAGGCGAGAGCCTTCGGTCCCTAAAGTCGTCCTCACTGAAATAGGGAAACCGAAGGCCCTAGTTACAGACTTATTCGCTACACAAGCCTTTGATGTTTGCAAGGAATTGTCAATTCCTGCTTACTTGTATTCTACTACATCCGCTGCTTTCAATGCCTTCATGCTATATCTGGCAAAGCTTGACAATGATGTTAAGTGTGAATTCATCGATCTTCCCCGACCGATTCAGGTCCCGGGTTGTAGCCCGATACAGATCGACGATCTGTTAGACCAGGTTCGGAACCGGAAGATAGATGAGTACAAATGGTTTTTATATCATGTTAGCCGGTTGCCATTAGCTACCGGAATAATTATAAATTCCTGGCAGGATCTTGAACCTATGTCCATCAAAAGTATACGACACAACCCTTTCTTCAAAAAGATACCAACACCTCCTATTTACCCTGTTGGACCTATTATAAAACAAGAAGAAACACTAAGCAATACAGCGGATTTAGAATGTCTAGAATGGCTGGATAAGCAACCACCTGACTCGGTTCTATTTCTGACATTCGGCAGCGGTGGGACTCTGTCATTTGAGCAGCAGACCGAGTTGGTTTGGGCCTTAACGTTGCTGATATATATGGCTGGATCCATATATTAGCATTACCATGTTAGTATAATAAATGATTGTTTGTTGCTTCTTATTCGTTGATATTGTTGGGCCTTAACTTGCAAAATGAGTCCAATATCCTTAAAAGAAAAATACGTAAGATTTTATATTAAGAAATAAATTTATACGACATAATCAAAGGTAAAAATATATTATTAATAAAAATCTAAATAAAAAATTTAAAATATATAAAATTTAAATTTTTTATAAGGATAACTATCCCATTCGCCCTTTTAATCATCCTAGATTTCTAAGATAAAAACAACCGACCTCCAATCTCTAATCTCGAAAAATGGCAAATAAGTAGGTCGGAGCTCAATGTGTAGCTCTAGCTCAAAATTATTTATGTGATAAATTCAAAACTTATTAAATTATTCATAAATCGAGATTCGTTAATTAACCAAGTGATCAAAGATTCATTAATTAATTATATAAAATTTAAACTTAATATTATCTTAAAAATATAATACCTCTCCCTTTAATAAAAAAAAAAATTTGATCACAAATATGGAGAAGGTAAGAAGGCAATGCTGATTATCCTTTGTACCTCTTTGAAGTTTAATCCCAATATTCATGCAGTTTAGCTAAGGGAGTTGATACTATTACATATTAGTGTGAATTACAAAGTTTTGTCATTTTGTTTCTATTTTGTCTAATTTTCATCATTGCTATTTAAAAAGTTATGTTTTGATCATTTATATTATCGATTTATTATATTTTAGTCATGGAGTAGTTGACTCTCGCTTTGACACGATGAAAAATAATCAATTTCTAATTTAACCACTAATTTTTATAAAATATATTAAAATTTATAGTTAATCCCATTTTTAGTCTTATCAGCGCGAAAATAGTGTTTGTTTCATCGAAAAATACCCGAACGTAAACTTATATATATCATTTTTATAATGTACTTATTTAATTAGTTAATAAAATTATATTTTAATTCAAAATTAATTTTACTAAAGGATTATTTATTTGTTTTGGTTAATTATGTAAATTAAATTTATTATAATCATTTAACATTAAGTATAAAGTTTTTTAATAGTTTGGGTTGACTATAAGATAGTATATGTTGAGAATACTCCTTAGTCATTCAAAACGTACACACATCCTGCAGAATGCAGTTGCTCGAACTGAAGATCTCTAAGAAGAATAACACTCTCTTTTAACTATTGAAGTCACTCAATAGATTTAATAATCATACAATTAAATGTAAGACTAAATGTTATTTTGTAATCATATTTTAACTCAGTGAAATTGATATTTTTTTTTCTTCATCTTGAAAACAAGTTTTCTTAGAATATACTCACAAACCAATGCAATGCAACCCAACTTAAGAACCCATTTTTTTGTATTACAATTTTTAAAATTGATAATTTTTTAGAAAGGTGATAAGTACACATAAATGAATACAAGAATATGGTATCTTTGATTACAAAGCATGTGCTGGTTTTATACAGAATACAAGTGATTATTCTTAACAACCCTAACAGAGTAACAATCTTCTAATTGTCTCCTAACAACCATTGCCAACGTGGCACATAATCCAGCCATACTGCCAACGTGGCATATTTATTGCAATAACGGCATTGCTCATACTGCTAATATTCCCTCTGCTTCTTCTTATCTTCTAGATTAAAAATGATGACACATACTTTAGACCGAAACTCCTCAAACGCATTTCTGGCAAATGGCTTAGTAAATCCATCAGCTATTTGTTGCATAGCTGGAACATAATTGACGCATAGTTGACCAGCATCAACTTTCTCATGCACAAAATGAACATCGAGATCAACATGCTTAGATTGAGCATGATAGACTGGATTGGCGCTCATGGCCACAACACTGGTGTTGTCACACCAAACAACTGGCTCATGATACTGTTGAATGCCAAGATCAGACAAAAGTGCTTTAACCCACGTTATATCAGCAACTGCATCTGCTACACTCTTGTATTCGGCCTCCATTGTGGACCAAGAGATTGTTTGTTTCTTTTTTGAGCACCATATAACAAGACATTTGCCAAGAAATACCCCATATCCAATGATAGAATGCCTGTTATCGATTCTAGCACCCTAATCCACATCAGCAAAGGCAACAATGTTCAATCCATGAACAAAAGGTGAGAATAGAAGCCCAAAGTTAAGAGTGGAGAATAGGTAGCTAAGTATTCTTTTTATTGCAACAAAATGAGATTCTCGTGGTCCATGCATATGTTGAGCAACTTATCCCACGCTAAATGAAATGTCAGGCCGTGTATGACAAACATACAAAAGAGAACCAACTATACTTCTCTATTCACTAGCATTCAGAATAAGTTCACCTTCTTCATGTGAGAGTTTGGGAGATACTACTATTGGCGTGGAACAACCTGCTACATTTGACATTCCAGTATTCTCTAAGAGTTCCAGTATATATTTTTTCTGACTCAAAACTATTGAATCATTAACATGTTTGACTCAATTCCTAGGAAGAAGCTCAACTTCCCGAGATCCTTCAGTGTAAAATGATATTGTAACATTTATACAATCTCTTGTATAACAGTAAGAGACTGTCCTGTAATGACTATATCATCCACATAGACATGAATATAAATGTAGCCATTATTAATACGTTTGAGAAATAACGAAGAATCTGCTCGAGATACTACAAATCCCATCTGCAAAAAGTTATCCTTAAGTTTAACATACTAATTACGAGGTGCCTGTCGAAGACCATAAAGAGCTTTTTGAAGTTTACACACAAAAGGTTGGCCAAGTTCACCAGTCTGCTCAAATCCAGGAGGTTGTTGCATGTATACATCATCACTTAAATCTCTTTTGAGGAACACATTGTTAATATCAACATGTCGAAGCTCCCATCCATTAGAAATTAATGTGGCTAGCACTGTATTAAGCGTGGAAAAACAAACCACATGGCTAAATGTATACTTGAAATAATAACTTGGGATTTGAGAGAATCCTTTGGCAACCAAGCGAGCTTTGTATCTATTTACTGATCCATCAGGGTTACACTTAATACGAAAGAGCCATTTGCAACCAACAGTCCTCCTGTCTTCATGGAGTCGAACCAGTGTCCAAGTTCCATATTTATTAAGGCATTGTACTCATCATGAACCACTGTAGACCAATGAGAAACTGAAGAACATCACCTAATGTAGCAGGAACATCATCATCCAAAACACTTGAAACCATTTTAGGCTTGAAAATTCCACATCGACTGCGTGTTATCATATGATGGACACGAGTTTGAGTAATATTAATACCAGGCTCAGAAGTAGCAGTAATATCATCACGTACACTAACATCATTAGGAACATTACTAGCTTATGCACATGTACCAACAGTTTCACCAGGTACAACATTTTCTGAAACAATAGCATCATAAGTGTGCTGAGAGCCATCATTGACCGCCTCATTCACATTAGGTGATGCAGAACCATCAACCACCTTATTCACAGTAGGTGATGTAGAATTAGCAACTACCTCATGCACAGTAGTTGTATTTGGTACATTATGTAAAGATCGAAAACAAAAATTCTTGACATCAGTAACAACTCGTAGGGACTGAGCAATCGAACTGGTGTTCATAACAGAATTCAACGAGTCATTAGTCTCTTTTCCTGTAAATGGAAAAACAGATTCATTAAACACAACATGTCGAGAAACATATACTCGTCCATCAGGTGCCAAACATTAAAACCCTTTGTGCTGATGACTAACACCCAAGTAAGTACTGACTTGAGATCTAAAGGACAACTTATGCTTTTGAAATATTCTTAAGTGAGGAAAGCATTGACACCCAAAAACCTTCATCATGGAATACTCAGGGTTTTTTTCCAAAGAGTTTCTCAAACGATGACAAATCTTGTAGAACTTTAGTAGGCAGACAGTTGATTAAATACACTGCAGAGATAATTGCATATACCAATATTTGATTGGTAAAGATGCCTGATCTAACAAAACTAGTGCTAGTTCAACAATATGACGATGCTTTCGCTCTACCACACCATTCTGTTTAGAAGTATGAGGACATGTTAGTCTGTGCATAAACCCATCTCGAGCCAACACTGGTGAAGTGCTTCGAAAATCACCACCCTAGCCTGTTTGTAATGCCTTGATAGTACGCCCAAATTAGTTAGCTACAAGTTTATGAAATAGTTGAAATGCTAACAACACCTCATCCTTGTGTTTCAAAATATAGATCCAAGTATGGCGAGTAAATGCATCCACAAATAAAATATAAAAATGAAATTCATTTGAAGACTCATGTAGTGGTCCCCACAAATCTGAATAATTAAGATCAAATGAAGAAGCAACCATTGTATTTGATTCACTAAAGGGCAATTTATGGTTTTTACCCAAATGACATGCAATACATTCTTTATTTACATTGGAATGAACTTTAATTCATAGTTTACTAGCTAATTTTGCTAAAGTATCAACAACTGGGTGACCAAGACGCTGGTGCCAGAGTTCATCCAATGAAGTATATACTAAATTTGCATTGTCTTTTGCAACATTGACTTCTAAGGAATTATTATTCGTAGCAAAAGAATATAAGCCATCACTCTCTTCACCTTGAAGTAGCAAACTTACACTAGCCTCATCTCGAACACAACATCGATTGGCATGAAACTCATTGAAAACACATCATTATCCCTAGCAAGCTTAGAAACCGAAAGCAAATTTTTGGTTATTTGCGGCACATGCAACAAATCATTCAATAAAAGCACACGTGAAGAGGTATTTACATGAGAATGACCAACCAAAGCAACATCAAGAGGCATTCCATTTCCAATTAAGAGTTTACCTGGTCCAAGGTACTCAGATGAATTCAAAACCTTATTAGCATCTGCAGTAACATGATGTGTAGCCCCTGTGTCAACCACCCAACGCTCATATTGCATAAAAGCAGCATGAGCCTGTGGTTGGTCATTCAAAACTGAACCAGTCCTTCGCTTAGCACAGCACTCACAACCACCATCAGTGGATGAAACTGTAAAATTACCTAGAGAAGAGGTAGTCTTATACTCCGACTGGTATTGCCCACGATTGACAAAAGTAACACACGAGAAGTCTTGATCATATCTATGCCAACATCGATCAACCAGGTGTCCAACCTTTCCACGAAGTTGACACTGAACCCGAGATCTGCCACGACCTCGACCACAAGCTCGAGATCCAGAATAATAAATAGATCTCTGATCAGAACTTTTATTCAACATCGACGAACTTCTTTTACTGCAATCATTTCAAAATTTGCCAGCTTTTACTGCAATCATGAACTGATGATGGATTTTGACTTAGAAAAACAATGTCAAAAGCAATTTAATTATGCAACAGGTCTAAACCCATGTTGCCATCTATTCGATATAATATGGCATGTTTGCATTATTCTACTGCAACATGAGCCTTGTAAGAACACATATAACCTTTCAATAATGACCTAATTTCGATGTACTATTATTTTAAGGTAGTATTTGCATGTTTTAGAAGTGATTAGCCAAGATTCGTGGCCTGCGTTCTTCAGCAGATCAGAAGCATGTGCCCAATTACCAAATTCCTGGGTATATTCATCGTTTTTTAACCCTCTTTTGAGATATTGAAAGACATTGTTAGCAGGTTGCATGGATGTTTTTGTCCCCTCGTTGATTTTATATATGAAATATAATTTCTCTTCCAAGTTGTTTGCCCATAGCATGAGAGTGAAACCCTTTTGAGAAAAATAGTACAACATATAAACGCGATATAAGACTAAATCAACTTATTTTTAAATTTTAATCCTCGATATCTATTTATATGAATAAGTTTATTGTTTACAAAGAAAACTTACATGTAAATAAATCTACTCAAATTGGGTTTTCTACTCCTTATCAGCTTGCGAAAGGAATAAAGTTTTACATGAATTGAACTGTTTCGTACATACACCACCACCGATCTCTATTTTAACATATATTTTAAGTTTGTTTCTAATTATTCCAGTCCTGATCAAAAAATTAGGGTCGTACAACTCAGACATAATACTTATCAAATCAAGGTGTTAATGAATTTCAAAGTAATTGAACCTACTCACAACCGATGTTTTTTAAGGTAGGAACAAGTTAATGAAAAGGACAAACTATATCTTTCATTCATTGGACAAATCAATAAATGGTAACCAAATTAGGTTGTTTATGAGCCTAATTTACTTACTTTCTATCCAAACGAAGCATAGATTGTCAAGCAATCAACACATTTGAGATACTTTGGGAAAGCTACAACCCCACAGAAAGGCTATTAAGATCTAAAGACCCAAACATGGAATCAAATACATATAAAACAGAACAAATTGACAGTTATTTTCAATATTTTTTTTCCTGGGAAGAAATGACATGTACTACACCTATTTTTTTCAGCTTTCTTCAGCCTTTTTTGTCTTGTAATATACAATTCAACTTTTACAACTTGCCAACTAGACCCCCCACTTTTTTTCTTTTCTACCTACTAGCCCCCCACTTGATCAGCACATTCACAAAGTTCCAAAAAACAACAAAAAGGAAAGAAAAGGGAAAGTAATTAGATCAATGTTACAGAGCATCAATTACCCTTTGTTTCTTGCTGCACTCTAATTCTAAAAGCTCCATTGCTCTAGTCCTTTTCCCATTACACCCACCTGTACCAACGTTTTCACTGCCGGGTATTTTGAATATGTTGACCCCGAACAGCCGGACCATTTGGACGGGTACAACCGGATTTTCCGAGCCCGACCCGGTCCTCGTCTTCCAGTCAATGTACAGCTGCTTCTCCGTCCCGGTTGATCTCTGGAAGCTGACAATGTCGCCGGCTTTGAGGTTCTTCTCCTTAACGAACCGGCTCCATCCTTTCGTTAAAACGTAACTCTGGCTACTGTTCCAATACGAATACCTAAATCGCCATACTTTGCCGCTCACGTCTTCCAAGTTCAAAAGCACTCCTTTGGAAGAAGCGGTTCCGGTTTGCAGGGGGAAGTATTTCTCTGCATGTTGTTTAGGTATCACGAGCCGGTTCAACTTTCCCACGTCGCTAGGGGTCACGGTTTTTTCGAAGAGCTGTTCACGCGCTTTGTGGTCTAACCCCAAGGAACCGAAGCCGCCGTCCTTTTTAACGATACGTTTCCCATTCCCGTCGAAGGCGTAGCTTCTCCGGTTCTGCTCGAGCTCATCGTTGTACGTGTGTTTACGCAGCATGTCGACGATTTCAGCTTGGAATGCGAATTGAGGAAGGCGACTTGGATGTCGTCGTCTTCCTCGGTTTCATGGAGGTGTTTGAAGTTGGTGACGGCATCACGGCCTCTAAACCTCTGAGCCGCTATGTCATAGGCTTTGGCGGCCTCGTCTTCTTCGTTGAAAGTTCCGAGCCAAACGCGCTGGTGTTTCTCGTATATCTGAGCACCCCATCGGCCGTTGGGTTGAGGAACAACGCCTTTGTATTTCGAAGAGGGGAGCTTCCTGGATTCGGCTTCGACCCCGGACTCGAAATCCACAATCACGCTGGTTCCACTCCCGTGTCGGTGCAGAGAGTCGGGGGATTTGGTAAGCTGAGGCAAAGGTGTAACGTTGGACCGCGAAACGGATACTGAGTCACTAGATGTGCTTTCATCTATGCAGCTTCCATCCATTTTTTAACCTTCTTTTTTAGTTTACTCAAACAGAGATGGTGATGATGAATTAGAGCAAGGTTTGTTAATATGTTGTTTTGACAAGAAAAAAAGAAGAGAAAAAGGTAACAACGAAGAGAGATGTGAGTTTGTTTGAAGGTTTCTGGTGTGATGTGTTGTGTATAAATAGGGGGATAGGTAAGTGCTGTAAATAAAAATTATTAAATTAGTTGTTATTATGGTAAGATAGTAATGAGATATGGAGACGAGATGTATGCTGGGTCAGCCCGAGGAAGGGATATGGTAAGTAACTAGGAAGGTTCCATCCATTAGAGGGTGGGGACAATGAAGAAAAAAATAGATTTATTTTAGAATAGTTTGCTATATTATAAGATATTACCTGTTAAGAATTTTTTTATATAAAAAATCGTTAGTTTTATAAAAAATAAAAATTATCCATAATTATAATGAAGATTTATAAGTATAACGTAAACGTAAATAAAATTATAATTAGGATATTTTCTTATAACTATAGACACAAAAACTAGTCATATACATCATACAATGGTCAAAAAAAGAAAAAAATTAAAAAATCTAATCAATGCTCGAACAAAATAACGATAAAAATAAATATGATTGCATCGATAAACGAATCACAAAAGGGGATAAAGCTACTGAAGGCCACCGACAAATCGTAAATCAGAGTCAAGCGACGTAAGAAAACTATCCACATACGCAAAACGCATATCCAAATAAAGCAAGGAAGATCATCATGATAACAAATAAGTTTAATCTTGATCAGTCTTGATGATGTCAAATCTAACCCTGAGAAAAAAGATAAACGAAAACAACGTCAAAAACGTAAGCTACCAAAAAGAAGAGAAAAATATGCTACATAGGTGGAGATAAACGTGTTATAAAGGTAGAGAACATGTCACAAAGACATACTTATTCTTATTAAAAAAAACTAAAAAATCAAAGGAAAAAAGATAACCAGCGAGTGACAACTAACATCAAAACTTATGCAGCCACCAATTAAATAAAATTAAAGAAGAAAAAATTAGATTGATCAATAAAATTGGCACAAATTATAAATAAAAAAAATGAAAGAGAGATGAGAGAAGAAAGCAGCTAGGATTTTTTATACTATATCGATTAAGAATATTTTTTAACCTATTAATAGCATATATATATATGTATATGCACTCCACGTATATAATTACTTAAATTTATATCTTTTAAAAAATAATATTTTTTAAATATAAAAAGAAATATAAAGTTATATAAATTTCAATTTATATAATTTATAAATTTTATAATAGACTGGTTGCGGGAGGATTGGGAGGGAAAGGAGAAGGAAGAGTGAAAATAACAGAATGCTGATGTTGTGGGCTGTGTATGGTGAGGTGGGGCCCACACTGAGCAAGTTGATGGGGTTCACATGACTGTGGACCGTGTATTAGTTAAGTTCATCCCCCCAGAGCTTTGGTTGCTGACCGGTGACCACCGGGATCAGCATGGGATTTCATGAGTTCGAAAACTACAGGGACTGAAGGCAGAATTAGACCTCCTTGTACTTGTAGAGCGACGGTGATGACAATAGTAATCTTATCTGATACTGCCGCGGTTTCATAAAACTTGTGTGTTGGCTTTTTATTACGACCAATGGAAAAGAAGATATACATTGAGTTCCACTAGGATGAGTAGTGGGCCATGCAGATTTGGAAGGATAGACATTGGTGATTGGTCACATTGAAGACAAGAGGCTCATCCAACAAGAATATTCCCATAAACCTTTAGCTGCCTAGGGGCGACTGTTAAGCGAGAGGATGGTGAGTTGAGTAGTATTTGATTAATGCTCGTTAAAAAAATTATTGTTCGACTTAACTCGACTAATTATTCGTTAAAAAAATTTGTTGCTCAATTTATTGCTCGTTAAATTCACTGATATTTTTATCTTATTTTTTAAATAAAGATAAAATGTACTAATACTACATAGAGTTTAATATAAACATAAATTAATAAATTTAACAAAAAAATAATTATCAAAAGAGTGTACAAATCAATTTCAAAGTCTAAACGTAACAATTCACAAATATATTAAAATAATAAATAGGTTTTGATTTTTGAGTATAATAAAAGATTAATTAATAATATTTTTTGTTATTCAATAGAAAATTAATAGAGTGATCATTTCTTTTTTTTATTATCTATTAATAACTTAATAATGTTTGAATGAAATATTTTTTTAAGATAACTACTAAAAAATAAAATAAAAAATTAACAAGCTGCTCGCAAACTTATCGAGTCGAGTTGGACTGTGCTCAGTTCAATTCGTTAAGGTCTCGAGTCGAGTCAACCCGAGTTAAACTTTTACCTAATTTTGGCCGAGTCGAGTTCGAATAGCCCACGAACTACTCAACTCATTAATCACCCCACACCTACATTTACATTTGTATTTTAATAAAATTAAAATTGATACATGATATTATGTTGAGGATACGAATCTTAAAATTTATATTAGAAAATTATAGAATGTAAATTAGACAGTAAACGAAAATACATATAAAATTTTTAAAATTACGACTGCATCCTAATTCCGTTCGGTCC